TCACATGCCTATTCTCTGTTGCTTGTTATTCAATCACGCTTTTCCATTGTTAGTTTTTATATTGATATTCTGCACAATTTATTTGTCTAGTGAGTGTCTCGACTTGAACCTCGTCACTGCTTCACCGAGGTTAGTCTTGATACTTACTAGGTACCGGTTATGGTATGATCATACTCTGCTTCTGCACATTTTTGTGCAGATCCAGGTAACTCAGAGAAAGCCACTCATTAGTGAGTTGATTCCGAGTTACTGTGGAGATTTCAAGGTATACCCGATGTTCCGTTCACAGGACTCAAAGTCACCTTCTATTATTTCCTTCATATTATTTACTGTATCTTAAACATTGTTGTATTTGAGACTCATTATATACTTCTTGTAGAGCTTATGACTCTGTATTACTAGGTTTTGGGATTGTGATTGTTGTATTACCATATTGGCTATGCTTTGGGCCATTTTTTCTGAATTTTATTTAATATTAAGTTGTTATAATCTTTCTGGTGTTGTTATGTGATATGCTTACCTAGTCTTAGAAACTAGGTGCCATCACTGTTTACCTTGAAAATGGTAATAACAATTAAGTTTGATTTTGTGGTTCTAAAAATACGTGATCCGTTTTTATGCTAGTTGTTAAGCAGTAGGTGCTAAGTGTGAGACTAGAAAATAAGATAAGAACTTGAAAATGGTGCGTTTAGGCAAACCGAGTGATTGAGAATCGGGGCCTCGATCCTGACAATATGGGACCTCGAGGTCGAGCTCGATGCTAAGCTATGAACGACCGATGAAGGACTAATAGTTTTGAGAGCTTTGATGAGGGCTTTTATGGACAATAATGAGCAATAAATGAAGTACAATAAATAGAACACTATAAATATAAGCAATGAATGTAAGTAATGAAACCAAGAGAATATATTTAAGTTAGAGAGCAGAGAATATTCTTGTATTAAATGTTGTAAGTAATGATGCGAGATGATTTACAAAATGACAAGGATCCCCTTTATATATTAGGGGAATCCTAACATAATACAAGTGCATTTATTGCAAAGATATATGACCGGTACAGCCATTTAATGCCACGGTACGGGCCTGAACTAGCCTAATAGATTTGGCCAGCTTTAATCATGTGCCTTGGGAATCTCCTACTCGTTCATCATAGCCATTGATTTACTCTGCCCCGAGTTCGAGCATATGGGACCCTGGGAACTTCGAGCATTCTGGGAGCGATATATAATCACGATCCTTAAGGTGGGATTTTGGGTCGATATTTACGATGTGCCTCAATGGTCAAAAAATCGGGCCTTCTAATTTTTGCCATATATAATCACGATCCTTAAGGTGGGATTTTGGGTCGCGACGTTTTTGTATCAGAGCCCTAGGTTCATAAGTTCTATGAGTCATGAGCAAGTTTAGTAGAGTCTAGCGGATCGGTACAGAGATGCTTGTACTTATCTTCATGAGGCTACGAAACTATTATAAAATTCCACTTCTTTTATTCCTTATCGTTCGGTTTTATTGATTTTAGAATTTGAGCATGTCTTTCTATTCTCTCACAGATGGTTAGGACATGAGCTTCATTTACTGATGATGTTGCCTCTGGTGCTGGTGTTACTAAAGGCTGGGACAGAGGCTGAGAAAGAGGCGGGGCACGTGCTATAGCGAGGGGCCTTGATAGGGCTGCGACTGAGGAGCCACTAGTAGCTCTAGATGGGGAGCAGGCACCTGAGGTACCTGTTGCTACCCTTGAACTTCAGGAGACCTTGGCACATTTCATGAGCATGTTTGGTACCTTATCTCAGGTGGGAGCTACATCTCAGGTCGGGGTAGGAGCTCAGACTCCCACCGCTCGTACTCTAAAACGACAGGCTTATGTTGATCAAGCTCCAGGTGTTATGTCGGTGCAGCCCATGATTGCGGCTCAGCCTGAGGTTAGGCAAGTGGTGTCAGAGGTAAAGCAGATGATGTTAGAGAGGTTCAAGAAGTATTTTCCTCCTACTTTTAGTGGCACAACTTTTGAGGATGCATAGGATTTTCTAGACCAGTGTCCCTGTATTCTGCGTATCATGGGCATAGTAGAGTTGATATTCGGCTTAATCTATGCATATCTTGATGTATATTGTCTCGAATTATGCTCATGTCTCATAGAATTAGTATGTATAATATAATGATTTATGCTAATTTGTGGTATTTCTGTGTAGAAATCATTCGGATGCAATTTGGGACGAAAGTGCGTGAATTGGAGAGAAAATGGGAAGAAAAGGCAAAAATCCACAGTTGAGCGCCACAGGCAGCATGGGCCACTACCTGTGGTGCACAAAATAGTGTGTTGAAGAAGTTGAGCGCTAGGGCAGCGGCCCATGCTGCCTTGGGCATTGGTGATGCGGATCTGTCCTATTTCGACCCCAAGTCGCCCCAACTCATATAAAAGCCAACCTAAACCTATATTGAGGAGGAGGACGTAATTTTGTGAGAGAAACAAAAGTACGAAACACTTGGGAGCACAGATTTGATCAATTCTTCCATTCTTCTTCTAGTGTTCATTGATTTTATGTCTAAAAATATTATTTTTGATGATTGTATGAATATGAGTGGCTAAGAACCCTATTATTCTGGGGTCATGGGTGGTACATGAATGTTGACATTTGAAGTTTAAATTGACAAGTTTGATTTTATCATATTGGATTGTTTATTTAATTCTGTTTTAATTATTTTGCTGAGTAGCTAACAGTGAAATACTATCTACGAATCTAGAGTTGAACTCAAAAGTGAGAATTCTAAATTGCATATAGGATTAAATAGAGCAAGTTATTAAACCCGGGCATCGAGGAACAAATTCACAATTAGGATAGAAATATACCTAATTGTCTTGCTTGGTTGAAATACAGGAAGTGTAAAAGCATTCTTGTTAATCTTAATTCCATAGACATATAGGCATTAAATTAGTTAGAATAGGCGAGTAAGAACTCGACAGATTCTTATGAGTAATATCAACCCTGTCAACTAACAATCCAGATAAATTAATTAGTCACTTTAAGCCAAGAACGCAACAAGATAGTTAGCTAGCCTATGACCATGGAATATCCTCTCATATTGATTTTTATCCGAAATTGCTTAAGTGTTGTGGTTGATCTCTAGTTATTTCATTGCTTGATAGTTTCTCAGGTAGTAAATTAGTCACTTACACATTTTGTGAGAAATCTCTAGAATTGATAAGTTGTTTGAGTTTGAATCAGTCAAAAGTTAATCATAAGTCTCCGTGGGAACGATACTCTACTCACTACTCTATTACTTGATGACCATGTATACTTGCATGAGCATGTTTGTTCGCAACATGTTTTTGGCGCGGATGCTGGGGACTTAGAAATTAGCTACTTGTCCGAGTTAAGCTTTTATTAGTTATTTGTTCAAGTTTTAGTTTTCAGTTTGCCTTGTTTGTGTTAATGCAGGATCTTCTCTTGAATGCAGAGGAGTAAAAGCGCAAACAACTTCCTTCCTCTTTATCCTGAAATTGAACGAACACTTCACAGAGTGAGGAGGGGAGTTGAAGCTAGAACTAGAATAGAAAGAGAGTTAGACATCATAGTTCAACCACAACCACTAGAGATAGCAGGTAATGAAGAGCATCTGGTGATAGAAGCCGCAAGGCCCAATCTTGCTAATATGACTCAGGCTATTATGATGATATCATGGGTCAAATAGTACATGGTACAACTGATTCAGCCCACATGGCAATATGTGGGTCTATCTCATGAAAACCCACAGCGGCACATTTGGAACTTCCACGGACACTTACAATTATCCGAATGGTTCCAAGAACTACGTCAAGCTGACATTGTTTCCGTTTTCACTGCTAGGGGAAGCCAAAGAATGGTTGCAAAAGGAGCCCGCGAACTTAATCCACACTTGGGATGATCTAGCAAGAAAGTTCTTAATCAATTTTTTTCCTACTAAAAAGACAAAGTCGCTGAGGAGCCAGATTCTTGGGTTCCAACAACGGGATGGCGAGACTCTTCGTTAAGCTTGTGAAAGATACACGAAGCTACTAAGAGACTTTTTGCATCATTGTCAAACTGATAAGGTATTCGGTCATACTTTCGTTGATTAGACAAGACATCAAAGATGAATCTTGACTCAGCTTGTGGGGGTAGTTGCATGGCGAGGCTGTATAGTGAAATCCAACTCATACTAAACAACTTCACTGCTAATGATCATAATTTACAAGGAGATGGGGAATCACGAAGAGCACTTAAATAGAAAGTAGTCGATGTAATTGAGCTTGATGACTTCTTAGCCATGAGAGCAGATATAGAAAAATTGGCAAATCAAATGAATAGAATGACAATGCACCAAACACAACAGATGCAATATGTACAACAAATGTCTGCTTGCTGTGAATTATGTGGTGACAATCACACGAGTGACATGCGCCCCGCAAATCCTGAATCTATCTACTATGTGGGGTAACAGACAAGAGGTCCGATGAATCAGCATGCACAATATGGGAACACTTAAAATTGAAATTGGAAGAAACATCCTAACTTTTCCAAGGGTGGAAATCAGATGACTCGGAATTATTATAGGCCTAAGGAAATTTTAATCAACCTTAGAAGCCACCCCAGCAAATAGAAGAGAGTACGAATGACTTGTTGAAGAAGTTTTTGCTTGACAATCAACAACTCAGGACCAATTTCAAAAATTTTGAGAAACAAATAGGGCAGTTAGAGTCAAATCAAAATATTAGGCCTACCAGCGCTCTTCCCAGTGATATAGAGAAGAACCATCAATGTAATGCGGTTACACTCAAACATGGGAGGGAATTAGAAGAAGTGCCAAAGAAGAGAAAGGACAAGCCTATACCCGAGGGGGAGTTGATTCCTAAAGCAACAAATGAGTCAAAGAAAGATGGTGAAAGTTCAGAACCAGTGAATGCTGCAAGGCCAGCACCACCTTTCCCCAAAAGATTGTAGAAGAAGAATGATGACCGCATGTTTAACAAATTTCTCTCTATGTTGAGCCAGGTCCAATTGAATATTCCATTGGTAGATGTACTTTGTGAAATTCCAAAGTATAATAAGTATATCAAAGTTATAGTAGCTCATAAGAGGAGATTGACTGAATTTGAGACAACCACACATACGGAGGAGTGCACTTCAAAGGTCCAAAACAAGCTTCCTCAAAACCTTAAGGATCCTGGCAGTTTCACCATCCCTATGCAGATTGGTAATTTCGATGTGGGTTGTGATTTTTGTGATTTGGGGGCCAGCATAAATCTGAAGTTCTTGTCCTTGTTCAAACAATTGGGTCTGAGAGCTCCAAGACCCACCAATGTGATGTTGCAACTAGGTGATAGATCCATAGCCTACCCTGAAATAGTGATTGAAGATGTGTTGCTGCAAATTGGGAAATCATCTTCCCAACATACTTTATTATCCTAGATTATGAGGCTGATGAACAAGTTCCAAACATATTGAGACGATCTCTTTTGGCTATAGGTGATGCAATTATTAAAGTAAGAGAGGGAAAAATGATTATGAGGGTGGACAACGAGGAAGCAATTTTTAATATCTACAAGGCAATCCAACTTCCCCACCATTATGAGGATCTCTCTATGATATTTGTTGTGGAGGTGGATGAGAAACATATTGACACGAGTGTATATCTAGACAATTCTCTAGACAAAGCACTCATGTTGTTCGATAGCTTAGAGATTGATGATGAGATTGAGGAGATGATTCATATACTAGATACATCATGTGCCTACATGCATGGATTAAACCCCTTTGAGCCCTTAAATAGGCCAAGTGGGCCTCCTCCAAAACCGTCGATTGAAGAAACTCCTAAATTGGAACTTAAACCCTTTCCCCCTCACCTTCAATATTCTTATTTGGGTGGTTTTGACACTCTACCTGTTATTGTTTCTTCTGACTTGTCTAAATTGTAGGAAGAAAAATTGTTGAGAGTGCTACGAGAGCACAAGAGAGAAAATAGGTGGACGATATCTAACATTCGAGGCATTAATCCAGCCTTCTGCATGCATAAAATCCTCATGGAGGAAACGCACAAGCCAAGTGTAGAGCAACAACGCCGCCTAAATCCAATCATGAAAGAGGTGATAAGAAAAGAAGTAATTAAGTGGCTTGACGTCGGTATTTTATTTCCAATCTTTGATAGCAAACAAGTAAGCTCCATCCAATGTGTGCCTAAGAATGGGGGAATGGTTGTAGTGGTTAATGAAAATAATGACCTGATTCCCACAAGAACTGTGAGTGGGTGGAGAATTTGCATAGATTATAGAAAATTAAATAATGTCACCCGAAAGGACCACTTTACCATCCTCTTTATTGATCAAATGCTTGATAGATTAGCTGAACAGGAATACTACTATTTCCTAGATGGCTATTCAGGGTATAATAAGATTGCTATAGCCCCAGAGGACCAAGAGAAAACTACATTTACATCTCCCTATGACATGTATGCATTTAAGAGAATTCCCTTTTGTCTCTGTAATGTATCTGCAACTTTTCAAAGATGTATGATGGATATTTTTACTGACATGGTTGAAAGATTTGTAGAAGTGTTCATGGATGATTTTCTGTGTTTGGGATTTCTTTTGATAATTGTTTAATGAACCTTGATAAAGTGCTTGCTAGGTGTGAAGAGACAAACTTGTTGCTAAAGTGGGAACGTGCCATTTCATGGTACGTGAAGGTATAGTCTTGCAGTACAAACTGTCCAGAAATGGTTTGCAAGTGGACAAAGCAAAGGTGAAGGCGATTGAAAAATTGCCCCCACCGACATCCATCAAGGGCATTCGCAATTTCTTGGGCCATGCAGGTTTTTATCATTGTTTCATTAAAGATTTTCAAACATTTCTTCTCCTCTGTGCAAGCTTCTTGAGAAAGATATCCCCTTCAAGTTTGATGATGCATGTCTGAAAGCATTTGAGAAGCTAAATTTTTCACTCCATTTATTACACGAGCAAAACTCTGAATTCAGCCCAGATGAACTACACTATTACTGAAAAAGAGTTGCTTGCAGTGCTGTGGGCGTTTGACAAGTTCAGATCCTATCTAGTGGGGACCAAAGTCATCGTCTACAAAGATCACTCAGCTACAAGGTACTTATTTTAAAAGAGAGACGCCAAGTTGAGGCTAATTTAATGGGTCATCCTCTTGCAAGAATTTGACTTGGATATCCGAGATCGAAAAAGAACAAAGAGTCAAGTGGTTGATCACTTGTCCAGGTTAGAAAATCGGAGTCATGTGGCTGAGGGAGGTTTGATTAAGGAAACATTTCCGGATGAGCAGTTATTGGCAATCACCTCGAGTGAAGCCCCCTGGTATGCAAATTACGTGAATTTTATTGCAAGTAGGGTGATGCCACCAGAATTGACACCCGATATTAGAAGAAGATTTCTACATGATATGAGGCTCTACATGAGGGATGAGCCATTCCTCTATAATCAGTGCACATATCAGTTGGTACGAAGGTGTGTTCTTGAGGAGGAGATGAATGCAATATTGCTGACTGTTATGCTTCTCTATATGGAGGTCATCGTGGTGGGGATAGAACTGCCCAAAAAGTGCTGAAATTAGGTTTCTATTGGCCAAAAGTGTTTAAGGATGCACACGCCTTTGTTAAAAAGTATAACAGGTGCCAAAGAATCGTCACGAAGAAGCACGAGATGCCTTTACAAAATATTCTGGCAGTAGAGCTCTTTGACGTTTGGGGAATTGATTTCATGGGACTATTCACATACTCTAATGGTCACAGGTACATCTTGTTAGCAGTCGACTATGTTTCTAAGTGGGTGGAGACCATTGCACTTCCTACTAATGACGCAAAGGTAGTGATAAACTTTTAAGAAACACATCTTCAGATGATTTCGGACTCCAATGATGCTAATAAGTGACGGAGGAACTCACATCTGTAACAAATTGTTGAATAATATTCTAGCAAAGTATGGAGTTAAGCATAAGGTTTCTACCGCCTATCACCCCAAACGAGTGGTCAAGTGGAAGTGTCAAACAACAAGGCGAAGCAGATTCTGGAGAAAAGAGTAATTGGAAATAGGAAGGACCGGGCCGGAAAGCTGGACGACGCATTATGGGCATATCAAACTGCATACAAGACACCCATAGGTTCTTCTCCGTATAACTTGGTTTGTAGGAAGGAGTGCCACTTTCCCGTCAAGAAAGAATATTGGCAATTAAAAAGTTGAATATGGATATGGACTTAGCCAACAAGAAGAGATTGTCACAACTGAACGAGCTTGATGAGTTTCGATTGCACATGTGCGAAAATGCCAAATTGTATTAAGAAAAGACCAAGAGGTGGCATGACAAGCATATCCATCATGGCGAGTTTGAGCTAGGTCAAGAATTTCTCTTATTTAATTCGAGGTTGAAACTTTTCCTCGGAAAGATTAAGTCTCGATAGGAAGGTCCTTTCATTGTGGTAAGTGTGAGGCCTCATGGAGCGGTGGAACTGCGTGATACGACTTCAAGTGGTACCTTCTTGGTAAATGGAAAGAGAGTAAAACATTATTAGGGTGGTGATATTGCACGTCAATAGACCTCGGTGGACTTGACTGATGCTTGAAAAACATGTTGAGTTGTGCCGCGACGTTAAATCAGGCGCTTGTTGGGAGGCAACCCAATTTTTAATACTTTCGTAGCTTAGCTTTTTATTTTCTTTTAGTTAGAGTAGACTAGTTTTTTTGTTTTCTTAGTAGTTATAGAAATCATAGGTGAGAATGGTGTGGGATGTGTATAATGTATGTATTGAATTCTCGGATTAAGTGATGTTTATTTAAAAAAGAATTTGCGAAGGAGCACCCAAGCCAGCGCCCCACGCTGTCTGGGGATCAGTTTATAGAAACATCACATCCCCCAGTGCCAGGCTTAGCGCAGCGCGCTGGGCGGGGG